CCCACATATGGGGTCCCATTATGAACAGTGTGCTTCCTCGCAGGCATTCCCTGGCTCGTTCGCTCCTGTCATCTACAGAGGAACCCTTACGGCGGCCAGGACTCCGTATGATTCGTTCAGGAAGTTATTCATGAAGCTCGGTACGCAGCGCGAGCTGCGAAAGCGATTCGGCGGAGGGGTCGAAGTCACCTGAGCTCTAAGTAAGAAGCATGAGGGTTCAGCGATCATCGACGTCCTCTGGCGCAAGCTCTCCTGTGATCGGATTTTCATCAAGAACGAAGGGAGAAGGAATATGAGGAGATCACCGAAGTTGTGGCCCTAGCTTCGAGCTTCAAGAAACCTTCTCGGAGGAAGAATCTTTTCTTCATTCAGGGACAAGTTCGGGGAGACTGTGAGTTGAGACTCGAGATTTCGGATTGTCATGCGCCCGGAATAAGCCCTGGAACTAGAATTTCCAGAGGGTTGCCGTGGCGCTTCTGCAGCAACGCTAAAAACTGCGACCCCGCGGAGGAACCGGGGAGATTGCGAGCAGTCGAATTAAGAGCGGACCTTTCACTATGAATAATCCAAGTCAGGCTGACTCTCCAGAGATTTTATGACTGAGTGCCTCAGCGGTGCCTGATTGTCCGAGTGATTCGATTCGACATGTGTCGCGCAGAGGAGTCGTGAAGCCCGGAAGGCAATGATCGCTCAAAGTCCGTCTTACAAACATCGTGTCTCTATCTGCGGCGAGCCACCGGACGTGCTCTGTCCAACTTTGTAAACACGCCACCACGCGAAGATCAGAACAGATAGCTCCTCTTCACGCTGCTTCCCGTAAGTTTCCGGATCGGCTCTATCTTTAGAGCGAATGTGACTTGGGGATCGTCCGCGTCGCCTACCGTCAGTGATAGTATTCGAGACCATCATTTGAGGCGTGTGGTTTTCTCGAGGAACTAGAACGGGGGCTCCTGATTCGATTCGTTTGCTCTTTGAGAATATCAATCGGGAGGCCTCATACGGAAATGATTCAAATCGCTCACTTCCTCCGAATATCTATTTCGACTTGGCTCGAGCTCTTTCCGCTTGGTGAACGCTCGTGTCGACCGATGTGCGATGAACGATCCATTTCTGATGCTCATCTCTCCGATGCTCCTTAGGTAAGATAAATTCTATCGATAAATGATCCATGCAGAGAGTCTTAGCGAAATTCTCAAAGCCGTCACATTTCCAGTGGCAGCAATCTCAAGCCACCCGTTTATTCCAGCGCGTTCTCGGAGTGCTCACAACCGGAATGGAATCGAACTCTCGGTATCTGAGGTGGCTCATTGTCCTCGATCTTGCGTCGCTTGTCGTGTGTCGAACTCGCATAGATCAACCTCCATGGATACGGCCTGATACGATGCCAGAAATTTTGTATCAACCCGGGACGACGCCAAGGATCGTACATGTGCTCTGTCCCATTACCGGCGCACAAGCCAATGTGACATGGTGGAAAGGATCGCAGCTGGTGACGGTCGGAAAAGAGCTACGATTCCGCCCTCTGACATCTGAGCACGTCGGCAAATACCACTGCCAAGCAGAGAACTCGGCGGGACTCTCGAAATCAAGGGATCTGGAAGTAGGGTTGGCTCACATGCCGAACTTCGTGGCTGTGGCGCAACGCCTATTCCTCATGGAGGGCCAGGCGGCTTCGATATCGTGCACAGCCCCCTCGGGTCATCCCACTCCTAAAGTATTCTGGAATGACACTGGATCCGGTCTGACGTCACGCATGATAGTCGATCCTGATGGCACGCTCCATCTCCCGAATATTGTGCTTCAAGATCACGGCGCCATCATCGAGTGCTCAGCGGAACAAATGGGGAAGGTTCACCTTATGAAAACTGTCGAACTCGTAGTGAGCGCTCGTCCGCAGGAATGTTTCGAGAAACGTCGTTTCATGTACGCAACGAGGAATACGTTCCTCAAGAAATACAGCGACGCTGAAATATACTGCGTGGTCTCGGGTCCGTCGTCCCCGATGTCATGGATAGTGCCTAGTGGTGTTCAGAAAGCTCTGAATGAAGACGCGCGACATCTTTTGCGGATCGATTCCTCAACCCTCGCAACGAAAGTGCGTTCCTTTAATGTGAGATGCCAATCCGATGGTCTTGAGAACACAGCCTGTGTCACGCTGACCAGCGAGCCGTACATTCCCCCGATGAAGAACGAGAGTAGGATCGAAGGTGAACGGGTTGTTCTGGAATGCGATGCGGGAGGAGAACCCAAGCCGAGCATTGAATGGTTTTTCAATGGGAAAACTGTTGACAAGCGGATGATTCTTGGGAACAGTATTTTTATACCTCGAGTCACTCTTGGGGACATAGGTGTCTATCGCTGCGAGGCATCCAACCGCTACGGTCGGACTCACCAAGAAGTTCTTCTGAACGTCTACAGAGCAGAGCCCCACATACTCGTCGATACCGAATGCTATAATACTGTCGTCGGGGATCGTTTGCGGATACCATGCGCAGCTTTGGCTTTCAAGGAACCCCTGAAGACATGGTTCAAGAATGGTGTCGGAATCCCCGGAACCCGAAATGACGAGTTTTTGGAGTTCGATAATGTCACGATGGCAAATGCCGGAAATTACGCCTGTCGGGTTTGCGAGAGAGAAGACAGACGTCGATGCAGCTCCTATAAATTCGAGGTGAAAGTTTTCGAATCTACGTTCGTGAGAACGCCCGAGAAGCCCACCGTGGTCTCGGAACACGAAGCTCTGAATATTTCCTGCATCCCGCGATTTGCCGATGACGTCATCCAATGGAGGATCGACGGCGTGTACAAGGGTCGAGGTCAGACTTTCCATTCGAAAAAACCGCGAGCCGGGACTTATACATGTGAATTGCTCCGCAACGATGTTCTGGTGACTCAATGGGACGGCCTGGTGGCATTGAGGAGTAAACCCGCTAAGCCGAGGATCTTCAATATATCGTGCGGTGGCGACGGATTCGCTCATCTCGGCTGGACATCGGCGGAGAATGCCGTTTACTACGAAGTCGAGCTGCTCGATGCGCAGAACTGGCAATCGATGGATATCGTCACGAACAGGACAAGGTCGAAGATCAAGTTGAATCGATGCTCGCCTTGCAAATTCAGAGTGAAGTCCCATAACGAAGCAGGATTTCAAACTTCGGAAACTCGGCATTGTGCTCCTCCAACGAAGGGTGACACCCAATTGCTGGTGAAAGAAATGAATATCACGCGGAAAGCCAGATTACTCTCTGTCAGCTGGAGCTTTCCCGATCCAAGAAAATCGTGTGTCCGTGTTTGTACCCATCCTTCGGGGGTTTGTCTACAGACCGAAGCGAATGAGACAACATTCAGTTTGAAGTACACTCGCCCCAATTCAACTTTCACATTGTCGAAGTGCGACGCTTCGAATTCGCTGCCTCCAGCCGACGAAATCTCCGCGAGCGGTTATTATAATTGTAATGTGGTGCTCCGAATCAGCGGCGTCCTTCACAGGCAGCCAGACTCGGCTCTCGTATTGTGGGATTTCTCTCATGACCCCTATTGCTCGCTCACGGGTTACCTTGACATTGACGGATCTGAATCAATCGGAGTCGATCTACACAAGAAACAATTTAATTTAGAGAACCTCGAGCCGAACCGAGTGTACTGTCTGAAATTGCGTGTGTTCCACGGAGATCTGGAATTGCGACTTCCATCGACTCCGGACTCATGTTTTCTGCCTGGTCAGGGTTGGGAGGCTTTGGAGAGCAAGCATCTGGTCAAGCTCCATGGCGATCGGATCATCCTGCCGTCTAATACTTCCCTGTTGCAACTCGTGAAAGGCAAATTCGAGCCGTGGGTAGAGCGCTTGTCGACAGTTCATCTCAACATGTTGGGTGACACCTCAATCAAGTTTCTAGAAAAGTCGGGTGGGCTCTGTAGAGTTTCTGAGGCGATCACTCTCAAGCAGAGAGAGAGTACCGATTGGATCCTCTGGCTGCTCGGGGTCGTTATTGTGATTCTTAGTGTCTCCGTTACCGCAGTAGTGCTTTTCCGAAGGAGAAGTATGTACTACGAGACTGAAGTCAAATGAGTTTGTTTTTACGGTTGTTTCATAAGCTCTTTTTCGACTGCATACTGATGGCCGAACCCGGTTCTCCGGCCGTATTATTGGGTACAATATCCTCATTAATGAGGGATATAACTTAATCAAATTGAGATAAAATTTCCGAATATATTTCTCTTAACAGTCTATCGTGCTTGGAGTCTCCCTCGAAGATCATGGAGTGGCCTATCTCTCCAGCAGGATGTCGGGCGAAGAAATTTTCAATTCCAAGGCACGGCACAGGACACCATCGCGATCATGGGCGAGCTCGTTCCAGTGCCTCCGGCATTTCATTTCGGCGCATAAAAGCTTGAGCGCGTAAAGCTTGTCGTCTGGAGAATTCCCGGACACGGACACATGTACCGGAGAATCCCTAAAGATGTCTGTTCCGCTTCCCATGATTCGCGGAAGAAATTCTCGCACCTTGGCAGATTAGTTTTCCGGAGGCTTTTTCGGAATGAAGATTGTGCAGCAAAGCCCGATGACCACCACCAGCGAGCTCGTCGCTTTTTGCCGTCGAGACATACCCTGAATACCACTACGCTGACTACGCGACTCACGAGACGGTTACGGACTCCTCGAAACTCGGAGACCATACTTCCGACAGAAAGTTCAGACACGGTGATTTAGAAATCGAGAGAAAGGAGATTCCTCCGCGAAGTCATGAAACTCTGCCAGTCGTAAAGAACTGATTGAATCTCTGCGCCAGGGGTGAATCGCCGACGATAATGATAATTGATTTTGAGTCGGTCATATCGGGTGGGACTTCGCTCCGCGCGTATACTGGGCGATGCGGAGAATCCTGAAGCATCTTTTATTCGTGGTGTCCTTAACACCCCCGCCTCGTGTGGAATTCATCGAGCAGGGGTTCAGAGCGATATTCCGAGTTTTTTCGCGAGAAGAGCAATGAACCCCCAAGGGCGGATCGTCGATCGAGTTGGACACAGACGGCTACTCGGTACAGAGACCGACTCGATTCTCAGAAAATCAGAAGAAGTTTTTACTCTTAGATCACAAGCGACTTTATTCAGCTCCTCCACAAATCATTATTTACAGTGCCGCCTCTCAATATCGTCTAGCTCGCGGATCTTCTCTCGAAGACTTGTGAGGCTCCGCTCGAGCCGGGCAGATCTATCTATCACAAAACAAATCTACAGATGCACTCCGTGAGCTCACGAAAAGAAAGTCCGCACCGTGCTCACGATCGGTTTTCTGCACATCACACACTCTGTCACACTAGCGGCGCAGGATGGACATGTCACAAAATGTCCACAAGGTAGAAACACGACGCCCCGTTCGTGTACCATGCATACTCGACAGAGCATGTTTTCGGGAATTTCTTCGACTCTGTTATTCTCCCCTGCAAGACATAAAGGAAATTCCTCGGTCAGCTGGATTCCTGAGCATCGCATAGGATAGATCGGCTATGAATGAGAATTAGAAGTTCCAAGGAAATAAAAATAAGTCATAAGATGCAAGCGGGTACTCACGTTTTGCTTCAGGTGCGGCTTTCTTCGAGAAGCTCACAACTTGCGACAGGACCGCCCCCAGTTCATCGGGCCCCGCGAAACCTCGGCCTTTGTCGAGCATGAATTTCTTGAGAGTCATTCGGACAACCTGAGGGGGTACTCCCTGCTTCAAAAAGAATTCGACATCCGACGAATTCATTATGAACTCGAGCTCGTTCCGGAGCGTATCATCCATCGGGTCTTCCGGGGATTGAGCTTCAACCTCTGCCTCATTCAACATCTGCTGATGCAGGTTCCTGTATTTTTCGATGAACGGTTCGCCCTTATTCAACTTGAGGAAATTACAGTCTGGGAACCAGCGAGCGTGCTCCACCCATGGATCATCGCCTTCGGCCCAGTTGCACAGTCCGCCGTCACAGCTGAAGCATTTCGTGAAATCGTGCATTCCGAGGAAGAAGAAGCCGGCTTCCACCAAATCGACCGCTTTGACTTTCGCCTCAGCGGGCCACGAATTTGTCGTGAATGTAGCCATCCTCGAGGAGGAAGAGACCATGTGAGGGTGTTTCGGAGCCACGTGGGGTGTCGCTCCCACAGGATACGACCCAGGAGCGGGATCTTTACTCGTTGAACACATGCTCCGGAGACCGCACTCATCTTCTCCGCAGAGCGCGTACGGTGGAGGGTTGAGGATGAATGGGCAGCTAATGAAGTTCTTAGCGTGCTCGTCGAAAGGGACGTCTTCGGGGGCCCAGGACTCGATAACTCCTTTACACCAGGCACAGCGGACCTTGTCTCCTTCTTTGAGATAATAGAAGCCCGCATTCACCAAACGCTGGGGATCTATTTGGGGCTTCGGCCAGTCCACGAACGTTTCCAGACGTTTCTTGGGACTCCTCATTATCTGGTCGATAGGGACGTCCGGGAGAGAGCGTTGGAGCACGTACGAGCAGTTAGGACTTCGTTCACGATGTTTCCGCAAGGCAACGTCGTTGAAGTGCCAATCTCCGATCTCCACCTCACAGAACGGGCAGGCGACATTGAGTCCACTACCCAGGTAATAGAATCCCGCTCTAGCGACTTTGTCCTTCGAGATCGGGGCCGTCGATGGCCACGATCCGAACGAGCGCATTCGATCCTGCAAGAGAGATAAAGACAATTGGTCAGTCAGGCATACGGAACGGATGATCCGGGAGATTAGATTCACGAGAACCGCGATCGATCCAGCACGGTATCAGCTTCCACCTCAAGAAACCAGATGTGCTGCGAGCCATTTCCAGACAGGCGGTATTTTGCAATATGTTCCCTGGCCCTCCGCCACAGACGGACTCCCGGTCGGAAATCATTGGTTAAAGCAGCTAGCATTCCGGTGCGATGAAGAACTGAACAAGAGTTCAACTATGGTCGGTCTACTCGCACGCAGCTGCCACTCTGCACAATCGCAAGCGTCGTGCTGGGCTAATATCGCGTTCGAGTCATCAGTCCTCTCCGCATTTCCGAGAATCGAGATCCTCTGACAACATAGAGCGTTCGAAATGATTCTACTGAGATTTGTGAAATATATATGAGGTCATACAACATCCAGAATAGATATTGGCCGATAGCCAGAGATACGCGAGGTCCACTAGATCCAACTGGGGCCGCTTAACGCATCGCGGAACGGTACGTTGGACTCAGTGTTCGTAATCTGTATAATCAAGTTAGGAATGAATTCGATTTCCCCCCCCCCTGGAAGTTCGATCAATATGAGCATGAGACGGGAACGTACCGGGGAACTTCGATAAACCAATTCCATGATCACCGGAGAATCGATCGAGATAACGGTAAAACCCATGTAACGACACGGGCTCTAAGCGCTACGGAACAGCTCGGAGGGGAATGGCTGACCACTCGTCGCTTCCAAATAGAGCTCACATTCGATACAAGCATCGAGTTTCTGTTATCGACTCAGGTAGGTTCGCGGATGTAAGCCGAGAGTCAGATGCATCTGTGCACAAGGGCATCGAACCATGAATCCAAGATCTCATCGAGCAAACGTGGTCGAGATTGTGCCGACTCTGAATCATCTAGACATGTAATCCTTTCGGAGCTAGACAAGCCAGCGATACCATTCCTCCCTACTTGAAACCCATCATATCTTCCTTTTTCCGCTCAGCCATTGTTGTGAGCGATGAGTCAGTGCCGCATTCGCAACACTTCAAGCTTGTTTACGAAAGGCTGCCCGGTGCGTCGCCGTTAGAACTTGCTTCGTCGTACGGAAATCAAACGCCGACGTGAGAACACCGGCGGACTGAGTGAGGCGGAGGACCTTCGGTCGCGACGAGCGGAGGATGTCAGGGCTTTATTATGATTTCAGCGATTGACACAACAGATGTTCTCTGTCTGCGCTCGAACAGTGCCCAGCCAATGTCCGATGATTCACTGGCCCAGCCGGACCGGCTGGACCTACGTGAACAGCGGCTGGGAGATTTCCTCTTCCTCCTCTCGCTCACACCGTCACACCGAGTACGGGTATGTTGTCAATATCATGAGGCGTATCAGTCAGTCACTTCCTTGATAACCTCGGCCATGGCAGCGTCGATTCTTGGCGTCGCCAATACACGCGTCACTCTTTTCGAAACTCAGAATTCTTCAAGGAAACGGTGCCAACAGTCATGCCGCCGCCGTGTTACCACAGCAACGACTGGTCATGGCTCATTCTCATTGACTACATCAAGTTGAGAATGAATGGACTAGGCGAAGTTGATATCATACGATTTCCGTCGAATCCCGGGCTTTCCCGCCGGGCGGCGGCGTTCCCAGCTCGCCATCCCACATCGAGCACAAGAGAGTCAGTAGCTATAGCAATATGGGCCTCACTTACGGCTTCATCTTGAAAATTGGGTTTTCTCGATCTGTTGACCGTCGACACGGTGGCCGGCGGAGGGGAGCTGACTGGTGTCGTGACTGGTGAGACTTGTTTTGCAGGCCGGATGATTTCCTGAGTCGGATGCATGCTGGCTGGAGTTTGAGCGACTCCTGGAGCCATTTTAACTCGTAGGGATCCCAACACTAACCACAGAACAAGCTCGGCGAAGACGACACTAGTTTAGCATAACCGTTTGCGGGTAGGAGATTAAGGTAGAGAAAGCTGAACGCCACTTTTCCAACGATCAAGGCAAATCGAAGGTGTTCTCGAAGTGAGCTTTTTGAGGAGAATAAGTAACGCAGCTGTAACCTTCTTTCGGTCGTTCCAAGCGGAATACGAAACCACTCGCAGCGGGAGGAGCGGCGGCGGCGGCCATGAGTTCCCCTCTCCACTCCCGAGTTATTCGGCTCACTCTTCAAACGACACTCCGCGAGAGAGAGTGCCACCGACTCAGCAATTCAAATCTCAGGATTCGCGCGATCGAGTCGACCTCTCATCGGGGGGGTCCGAACGGTTCGCCCTAAGAATGTAATTTCTCTGATTTCTGGAGAAAATCGCTGGGCTCCGCATATCAGTTCTGAACGGAGGGAATTCGGAGGCGAGAGACCATCACGTTCTCGTGCCACGGAGATCGGTCCCTCGGAGAGTCCTGCAAGACCTCGGTGTCGATCAGCTGAGGCTGCTTCGGCGACTGTCACGTCGGCTGTGCGGCTTCGGAAAAGCCTGGAGCCGCTTCGATCCGGGCCGCGACTATCAGTTTGACACCAGCCTCAAAGCAAAGAAAAAGAGCCGAATCGGCACGATCGATCTGTTCCTTGCGGATTAGCTTGCCCGCGGTCGTTTCCAGCCGTTCAACCTACGGAATTATTCTATTTGGCGATTCCACGCTCAGTTTCATCTACGCCTAGAGCGAGAGCCTTGTCGGAAAAGATCGAGCCCTCGACCTATCATATCGATGGCGTGTACTCCAGTGAGCGCGCGTGTGAATTCCAGGATGAAGAAGACTCAATGCAGGAGGATGATATACCTCGACCCACGACCGATACGCAGCGGCTCATCCTAGTCATGGACTACTCCTGCAGAGCTCGATCAGAGCCTGCCCGGTAGGGAATGACCCTGTCGGGATCTTCCGCAACGGAGCTCGTGAAGACCGGTCGTTCTGGGAGCTGTCTTCCGTTCACTGATATACATGTGTAAATACCTTGCATCTGCGGTAAGAGAAATGCCGTGGATCCTGGAGATCGGATCCAAGATTGTCTCGAGCTCATCGCGAGTCAACATACAGAAGATCAAAGACTAGAAGCTCGAGACAGTGGTTGGGAATCCGGCTCGAGTATTAAGGGGATGCAAAGCGTATTCCACTTCATTTGAGTTCCCGATCTCGGTAAATATTTTCGCAGACAGCGCCTCCTTATCGCCACTAAGCATCACGTGCCCTGTTTAATTGATCCACAGGCTTACACTCGATTCCGCTCGAGTACATTTCCACGCGCCATCATCAATCAGTAAATAATTCGATATGCGACGCATCGAGAGAATTCTCGCTGCCTGTTCTGGACGGCGACTGACGCATGAATTATTTTCCGGACTGATCCATGCAGCCACCGGGCCAATGGGATGGATCGGAAGTGGTCAGCAGGAGGAGAGCGCGTCTGTAGTGCGAAGTCTCAGTGCGCAGAACGCTTTCCTGGACGCCCTGAGGAAACTCGGCTGCAAGACATGTCCTTCCCAAGGGAAAGATTTGCCCGACGATTTCGTGACTCCTGGTGGCTGTGTGCTCTACAACTGGTTCTTTTCATGAGCGTTCACGTTGATCGTCAGTCGCACGCGAACTCAAATAAAGGATTGCACGCCGTACCGTGCAGGTCAAGCTCGCTTATATCCTCAAGCGACTGGTAGCCTCTTTTGAATCGGGTACAAGGTTCGCGCACATCTAATCAATTCGGAAAATGAACGTTCAGAGTCAACTTACCAACCAGTTTTTCACATCATTCCACTTGGAGTTCGTCAACTCAACGGCCCTTTTTCTGGCGGAGCTCCTTTTATCCATATCTGATGCAGTCGATTGACTTTCACAATATCTTAATAAGAACTCATTTGATCGCATTGACAGTCGATATGCAAAACATCTGGACCCGATCGTTGTACATATATATATATGCGTCCATTGTTTATAATCATGTCAAAAACCCTCTACATGGGTTCTCTAGATAGCCTCCTCTTCGTTGTGCCTCCTCAACGGATCACGCCAGCGCTAGCAGCGCGACGTATCGACTCATTTTGACGTCACGGAGCTTTCCTCTCTCATCGCTCTGAATGCTGTGGGTCGTAGTAACGCCAGTGGCCGACCCAACGATGTCCTTCCACGCCGCGCCGATGACTCATACCCTATGGAATACATCCTTCAATTACGCTGAGATCCAGAAATTCACCCGATGACACCATCGTGTTTATCCCCTTGACAGCTTCGATTTCCCCGCTTCTAAAGGATCATATCGATGCCAATCTGTTCCTTCGCCATGCTTTTAGACAGGAAAGTTCCCGTCGGGAATATTCGGGAACCAGATCTCGCTAAAGTTCTCTCGTCTGCTGAGATCAATGGATGAGTCTCGGCTAAGCTCCCCAAAAGCTCAGAAAATATCAATCCGCTACGGAGATTAGAATATCTCTCTTTTCGTCGCAGTATATCGGTGTAAATAATGCACATTAGGCTCAATACCTCTCTCTCAAAGGAGGCAATCGGAAGAAGAATATTGTGTATGGGCACCTCTTTCTGGGAATCGGGGAACCTCATCAAAACTTGGTTCGGCCGATTGCTGGATGTGGCGCGTTTAGTTCACCGTCGCGTCGAAGAAAGCTGCCCGAGGTAAGCAGCTGCCCCTGTTTGGTGAAGGGAAAGCCTCCGCTTCGCGAGGGAATCGACAGATGATCCCGAGGTGACCCTGGTTCCATCAGACGATCCTCGAAGTTTGTTTTTTCGTGGCGCAAGCATCGGCTTCGATCGATTGATACGATCAAAATCCTTGTGGTCGTATGCGGTCTACATGTTTATGTTATTGGTACTATAATCATTCATGGTCTGATGCGGTACCCAACCGCCTCCCTCGGAACATTCGTAGCGTACGAAACTTGGCGATAGCTTCCGAACTGCTTCTTCGGACAGCATATCGGAATAATTTTCCTTCCCCTGAAGAATTCCTCAGGTCCCTCCCGGCGCGAATCGCCCCGGTGGAGACCAGAGACCTCACTTCCGGGAGGAAAAAATGCGAAAATGAAAATTCCGATGAGCTAGCTGCGAAAAAATTTGGCGAGCTCGCCCGCCTGACCGGAGTGAAACACAGAAACGTGTAAGCGCATAGAATCGCGAGCTCTGTCGATTGTAAGAGTCACCCGGATTCGACACATTCGGTGAGCACTTGAACTGGTGACGGAGAATGGGAATTCTCTATCACGCAGCTCATCTAACCTATTTTAGGTGGAGCTGGCTTCACTTTCGAATTCAAGCGTATGGAGTTCATTGCTCCATCCGGGCCAGCCCCGCGAACACGACTCTAGATAGTTTCCGGGAGCCAGTATTGAGTTCTGTCGCCTGAATTTGGTGGTGATTACAAGTCTACATGCCTTTCGCATGTGACAGCCTCCCGGACTTCTCCGAAGCATTAGAGGTTTCTCCCAAAGGCGTGGGAATCCGAAGTCCGACAGAAACGGTTGTCGGATCTACGACTAATAGACATCGAGAAAAGCAGTAGATCCGGAATTACTTCGGGAAAAATTGTATACTTGGAGCCCGTGTTGACAGCATGTGAGAGCAGTTTCCACGGGTCGAATCATGATCGCTTCCGATGCCGAAAACTCAAGGCAAAACATAGCCGTCGAAGCTGTCATCAATCAGTCTAGTAAGGGGTAGCCTCGACATAATCATGGAGCACTTGGGGAGAGCTGCGCGAATATCGGATACAAACTCATCCTCGATGGCGCTCGATAGGTTTCAGCCTCGGAATCTAAAGGGTCTGAGCTTCTCGCGAACGAAACCCGGTCACGACCAGGAAGAATGATATTTCCGCATATTCATTCCAGCAAGACTGTTCGACCGGAAAACACTGGGCGCTGGAGCAATTCAGTACTGTCGGAGAGGTCGAGAGAGCTTCGAGTTATACCGATCATGGTGTGTTCGATTCTGTGAAGACTTTTTTCGTGAATTATAGGTTGAGGAATTAGTAATCTCGAGGAAAGACAAAGAGATCCCTCGAAGCCTTGCTAGAAAGAGGAGCCCGCATCGATTCCCCCAACGGTTGAACTCTGCTTACGACTTTTTATGTTAATTCAAGCGCGAGTTTTATTCTCCTCGGGTTGACTCATGATTCAGATAGACGGACGTCTAATGCAAGCCCGATGCGAGGCAACTTGATTGAGGCTACAGGATTCTTTCCCAGGAAACTCTCCGGTCCTCTCGGGTTACAGAGAGAAATCTTCCCTCCCGATGACGCGTCAACATCTTCAATACGGGAATCATATATCGTATCATATATCATATACCCGTTCACCGCTTCACTACTCAATGGTGTCAATGTTTGAATACCGGTGTATGTTGGGGCGTTGCTTGGAAATGCGGACCGGGGTTTTCCCGAGCATTCTGAAGTCAATCGAGGGTTTCCTACGCGCGTCGAGATGAGCGTTCCGATCTTCTGCGACATCACATTTCCTTCTTCTCTCAGGATGATTGCACTATAATTTTTTGCGATTCGCCTACAGAGCCTGCTGAAGTTGGATGATGATGTCGACATTATCAAGAGCGCCATTTGAGGACTTTTTCACAGGGGTTCCCGATGAAAAATACAGATTCAGCCTGATTAGCGGTCTGTCCAGCTCGAATCCAGGGCTTGAATCCGTTGCAGGCGCAGCGTTCCACCAGCTTAGAGCTTAGACAGAGCGATCTCCATCTCCAGTCTGAGAGCTGTCGGTTTCGAATCCGCCCTTGAGCCTGATATGTTTGGATCCGGACAATACTGAACATGCAACCTTTCCGGAAAGGAACAAGAGGTAAATTCTCTCGAAGCTCGGAGTGAATGACCGGGATGCTCATCTCATCCTCCGGCTTCCATGGGGTCAATGGAAGCGGCGAATCGGCTTGAGCTCGGTGCTGACGACCTTAGTGGAGATTTTTCCTCGGGCTTTGCTGATCATCTGAGCCCAGAGCCGGACGGACGGATTCACCAGACGGGCTCGACCATCACCCTCGGCTGATGATCCATGGAATCCATCCCTTGATGGGATCCATGGATCAACAAGGTAAAGTCTCCGCAAGTTGAAACGCCTCCCCGAGGACCAACGAATTCA